GTGTTCATCCCGCTCTGCACCTTGTTGTCCTGCAATATAGCAAACTTTGTTTTAACCAGTCCTCTAGATAAACCGGCAAAAACTTATACCTCAAATACCATGATTTACCATGATGTCTGAATATTTATGTTGTAAACACATTATAACAGTGATGTGTGTACCCCTGCATTATGTTCTTGTTGCTTACTGTGTGTTTTTACATTGATTTTAGAAGGTGTTACATTTTGCGTAGAATTTTTGAGGGATGTTGATGTCTTGAAACTTCAATTGGCCATTATTTACTGTGGTTATACATACCTCTTGATTATCCAGAATATTAGATCCTCTGGCACACTCCTGGTCCCATAGGTTCCAGTTAATAAAACATTTGCTGTAATATAATTAGTGTAAGGAGGCTTAACATTTTGGATTTGTTGGATCATGGAATGCTACAGAATAGAAATAGGCTATTTAGCTCATAAAATCTGTGCTGGTTCACAAAAAAAAGTATATTGCAAACACGTGCACTGTAAAGACATTTCTTCTAATCTCCACTTTCAATTATTTTGATAATCTCAAATTTGTCTTTTGTGATCATTTCACTGTTATTCAAGCCTAACTTCATATTTGAAATTCCTAATGTCCGATAACATCCTCGCGGATCAATATTGCAACTTTTCTGTTGTTTTCATATCCTTCATGTGAAGAAGTTCCCAAAAACTGACTTGACAAATTGTACTAATTCAACAGAATCTGCTATTCCTTTTGAATATAAAACCAAATTTGTTTTCTTTCTGTACAGCCTAATGTAAACTTCCACCTTTTAGTAACCCGACTATCAGTATGCTATGCTCCTGTACTCATAATTTTCATTGTTCTGACAGTCATGAAGGAAAAGAATGAAAAAGTGGATAAAATATTGGAATACGTAACCATAATCCTGAAAGACAATTCCACAAAACCCATGATAAGGCAGTAGTCAAACCACATTTGGCATGATCATGCTTCAAAATGGACATATTACCTATGTACAAAAGTGTGACCTACATGCAAGATACTGAGATAAAAACAGAAAATTCTAGAAACACTAAGCAGGTCAGCTCGCATCTCTAGAGACAGAAACAGGACTAATATTTCAGGTCTTTTTCATTTTGTCAGAATTGGGAGAAGTTAGAAATGCAATATGAGCAATTGGAAGAAGAGTGGTTCGGAAGAAGAACTAAAGGAAAGATTTGTGAAGAGGCGGGAAGGCAGGAAAGATTAAATGACAGAAGTTTTATGGTATGTGTCAAAAGGAGTAAAATTAGACAGCCATGGAAACAGAAAAAGCATTTCTAGATAAAATACAAGCAAATGGCAGGATCTTAAAAGCTGTCACCAGGCAAGAAGGAAAGGATTTTTTTTTAAATTCCTGTTTGTTCATGGAATGTAGGTTCACTGATTAGCCAGCAATTATCACCCATTTCTAAATGGAGGTACCCATGGAGTGATTGGGAAAAAAGTTTGAAAAGGGCCATGCAGCCATGCCCTCCAGTTTTGAGGTTTCTACAGCCTACAGCATTTTGGCAGCTCCTTTCAGGTCGTGTCTTTTTTGAGTGCCGGCAGTAGTCTTTGGCAGCTGGCAAAATACTGACTAACCCTGTACGTAACTTCCAACTGGGGCTGTAAATATCTTGAAAAACATCTTGAATCCACACCAAGACAATTTTCCTGATTCATTCCCACACTGAGGATGTTTCTTGCTGTGGACAATTGATATGCAATCCTGCCTGCACTATGAAGACTTCCCTGGCAACATGTCAGAGAACCATTTCAATCCAGCTCTGTACTGTTTTCCTGACTTTCCACCCTCAATTAATGCCAAGCTGGGAGTGATAAAATTCTGCCCATGGCAGTCAATATAGCACAGAAAGATGCCATATGGCTCAGTGAGACCATTCTGATGCTTGGTAGAGCAATCTAGTCCGTTCCATTGCCGTGCTCTATCCTATAGCCTTGCAAATTTATTTTGCTCATGTGTCCATCCAATTACACTTCAAAATAGTTGATCCGTTTCTGCTTTGGCCACCCTCAAAGTCAGTCATTTTTGGATTGTTCACACTTACTGTGTGAACAAAAATGGTCTTTTACATTAACCCCACTGTGTCTTTTGCCTTGTATAACTGGCAAATGAGAACAGCTTTTCTTTGTCTACCCAAACCTGCCATCGTCTTAACCACCTCTATCAGATCTTCTAGTCTCAGATGAAAACAACCCTAGCTTCTCCTTGTAGCTAAGTTTCTTCAGCTGTGAGACCATTCTGATAACTTTCCTCTGCACCCCCCCGCCACAAATATGTTCACAATTGTCCTAAGTAATGGTGACCAGAATTGGAATTAGACACTATACTCTAGTTGTTGCCTACCCAGAGTTTTATGAAAATTCTATATGACTTCCCTGCTTTTGTTCTCAATGTCTATTTACAAATCGCAAAATCCCATCTGCTTTTCCAGCTGCTCTGTCAATATGTCTTGCCACCTTCAAAAGTTTTGTGCATATGAAACCCCCAGATCCATCTGTTTCTGCTGACTTTCGTAACTGTATCATTGCATGTATATATTGCCAATCTCTATTCCTCCTTCCAAAATGCATCACACTCTCGCTTCTCTGCATTAAATTCTATGTTACTAGTTTGCCTATTTTGTATATATGTCCTGTTGTAGTCAGTTGGTATCACTTCGCTTTTTGCCACACCTTCAAATTGCTATCACTGGCAAATTTTGAAATTTTATACTGTATCCTAATATCTGAATCATTTAAATATATCAAAAAGGAAGAATGAAAGTGGAATGAAAGTGCTGGATTCCCCAGCATCAACTCAGACAACCTGAATCAACAACATCAAACACAGCCCTGTCGCCCCTGCAATATTCTCCTGACTAACATCTGGAAGCTTGTGGGAGAACTTTTCCAGCGATGAGTTCGGTCACATCCTGACAGTCATATTCATGGACTTACAGACGATACGCTAGACACTTATCACCAACCAAAGGGCTGTATTGTCTCATAGGCAAGACAAACCCATCAGAGGTGATGGAATAGTGGTGTATTGTGTGGAGGGAGGACCCTTTGGATTCATCAACAAGTGATTCTTCATGCTGTCCCATCCACCCGTGCCTCCAGAAAAACTGATTATCAGTACTCCTTCATGTTGAAGACCTGAGGATGGCCAGGGCGCAGAATGTACTCTGGGTGGGGGACTTGAATGTTCATCAAGAGTGGCTCTGTAGCATCACAACTGACCGAGTTGGCTGACTCCTAAAGAACATGGTGGCTAGACTGCACCTGCAGCAGATGATGAGGTAGTCACTGAGGGAAAACCTACTTGACCTTGCACTCGCCATTCTACCCGTCACAGATTCAACTGTCCATGTCGTGGAGATGGTGCCATGTTCCCATTAAGGATACCCTCCATTCAGCTTTGTGGCACCAGCAGCAGAATAGGACCAACTTCTAACAGACCTAGGAACTCAAAACTGGGCATTCATGAGGTGCTATGGACCACCAGCAGCAGAATTGTATTTGACCACAAACTGTAACTTCATGTTCTACATGTACTCCATTCTATCAAGCCAAGATATCAACCTTAGTTCAATGAAAACTGCAGGAGGCCATGTCAAGTGCATCACATGGTATACCTAAAAAATAAGGTGTCAGCCTACTGAAGCTACAACAGAGCACTACTTGTATGTCAAACAGCAGGCAAAAGTCAGGGCTGAGCAATCCCATAACCAGTGGATCTGAACTAAATATCTTTCACATCCAGTTGTGAATGGTACTGTTAGGAGAAGGAGATTGCCATTGAATCCAAATAATCAGTGTAGTTCCATGTCAGGATAGTGTGTGGCTTGGAGGATAACTTGCATGGGAGGTGGGGGCCGAGTGGTATTATTGCTGGACTGTTAATCCAGAGACCCAGATAATGTTCTGGGGACCTGGGTTCGAATCCTGACATTGCAGATAGTGGAATTTGAATTCAATAAATATCTAGAATTAATCGTCTAACAATGACCGTGAATCCATTGTCGATTGTTGGAAAAACCCATCTGGTTCCTACCGCCCCCTTGATCATGACCCCACCCCTGAGCACCAAACCATCCACAACCTCATCACCTCAGGTGACCTCCCACCCACGGCCTCCAACCTCATCGTTCCCCAACCCCGCACTGCCCCCTTCTATCTCCTTCCCAAAATCCACAAACCTGAATGCCCAGGTCGACCCATTGTCTCCACCTGCTCCTGCCCCACCGAACTGATCTCCAACTATCTGGACTCCATTTTCTCCCCCTTGGTCCAGGAACTCCCTACCAATGTCCGTGACACCACCCACGCCCTCCACCTTCTCCAGAACTTCCAATTCCCTGGTTCCCAACACCTCATCTTTACCATGGACGTCCAGTCCCTCTACACCTGCTTTCCCCATGCAGATGGCCTAAAGGCCCTCTGCTTCTTCCTGTCCTGCAGGCCCGACCAGTCCCCCTCCACTGACACCCTCATCCGCTTAGCCGAACTCGTCCTCACCCTCAACAACTTCTCTTTCAATTCCTCCCACTTCCTACAGACAAAGGGGGTGGCCATGGGTACCCGCATGGGCCCAAGCTACGCCTGCCTCTTTTGTAGGTTACGTGGAACAATCCCTCTTCCGTACCTACACCGGCCCTAAACCCCACCTCTTCCTCCGTTACATTGATGACTGTATCGGCGCCGCCTCGTGCTCCCACGAGGAGCTCGAACAGTTCATCCACTTCACCAACACCTTCTACCCCAACCTTAAGTTCACTTGGACCATCTCTAATACCTCTCTCCCCTTCCTGGACCTCTGTCTCCATATCGGGCAACCACCTAGAAACAGATATTCATTTCAAGCCCACCGACTCCCATAGCTACCTAGAATACTCCTTCTCCCACCCACTTTCCTGCTATCCCCTATTCCCAATTCCTTCACCTCCGCCACATCTGCTCCCAGGATGAGGCATTCCACTCCCGTACATTTTAGTTGTCCTCGTTTTTCAAGGACCCCCCCCTCAGTGGTCGAGAACACCCTCAACCGTATCTCCCACAACTCATCCCTCACACCCTGTCCACGCAGTAAGAACCAAAAAAAATCCCCCTCGTCCTCACGTACCACCCCACCAAACTCCGGATCCAACGCATCATCCTCCGACACTTTTGCCATCTGCAATCCGACCCCACCACCAAAGACCTCTTTCCCTCCCCACCCTTATCTGCTTTCCGGAAGGACCACTCTCTCCATGACTCCCTTGTCCGCTCCACACTCCCCTCCAGCCCCACCACACCCAGCATTTTTCCCTGCAACCGCAGGAAGTGCTACACCTGCCCCCATACCTCCTCCCTCTTCCCCCATCCCAGGCCCCAAGAAGACTTTCCACATCAAGCAGATGTTCACCTGCACATCTGCCAATGTGGTATACTGCGTCTGCTGTACCCGGTGTGGCTACCTCTACATCGGGGAAACCAAGCGGAGGCTGGGACCGCTTTGCAGAACACCTACGCTCGGTTCGCAATAAACAACTGCAGTTCCCGGTCGCGAACCATTTCAACTCCCCCTCCCAATCCTCAAATGACATGTCCATCCTGGGCCTCCTGCAGTGCCACAATGATGCCACCAGAAGGTTGCAGGAACAGCAACTCATATTCCGCTTGGGAACCCTGCAGCCCAATTGTATCAATGTGGATTTCACAAGTTTCAAAATCTCCCAAAAAAAAACCGCATCCCAAAACCAGTCCAGCTCGTCCCCGCCTCCCTAACCTGTTCTTCCTCCCACCTATCCCCTCCCCCCACCTCAAGCCGCACCCCCATCTCCTACCGACTAACCTCATCCCGCCCCCTTGACCTGTCCGTCCTCCCTGGACTGACCTATCCCCTCCCTAACTCCCCACGTACACTCACCTTTACTGGCTCCATCCCCGCCTCTTCGACCTGTTTGTTTCCTCTCCACCTATCCTCTCCTCTATCCATCTTCTATCCGCCTCCCACTCTCTCCCTATTTATTTCAGAACCCCCTTCCCCTCCCCCTTTTCTGATGAAGGGTCTAGGCCCGAAACATCAGCCTTTCTGCTCCTATGATGCTGCTTGGCCTGCTGTGTTCATCCAGCCCTGCACCTTGTTGTCTCGGATTCTCCAGCATCTGCAGTTCCTACTATCTCTGGTTCACTAATATCCTTACCTGGTCTGGCCGACGTGTGACTCCAGACCCACAGCAATGTGGTTGACTCTTAACTGCCCTCTGGGCAATTAGGGATGGGAAATAAATGCTGCCTAGCCAGCGACGTCCCTCATCCCGTGAATGAATTTAAAAAAAAAGGTGATGCTTCCATATATCTGCTGCCCTTTGTCCTTCAAGCCACTCCAGAAATTTTTTGGTTTTTTTTGTGAGGCTCAACTCTTATTTTCACATTGTTGTCAGCGGGGCCATTTAAATATAGGCTTTCTCATTCTGATCACAACTTTGGTGCTTATAAATTTCTTATGCAAGGTGGAGATGGGCTAATCATGGATTAGTTTGATCAGGAGTAAAGACCAAATGACAGTTATATAATATTTGGAATAGTTTTACCTATGTTAATAAGCCACATAATATCTTTTGTTTTCTGTTCGTAATTTATAATGGATGGTTTTGAGTATGCTGTTTCAAAAATATTATATATTTAAAAGATATTATGCTTTCCAGATATACCAGGGAGGCAGGTGTTCGCTCTCTTGAGAGAAAGATCGGAGCTGTTTGTCGTGCAGTGGCTGTAAAAGTGGCTGAGTGTCAACCCAAGATTACAAATTCTAACCACACACATGTGACTGAGAAGGAAGGTGAACTGACTTTTAATTATATTGAACGTTTGGAAAAAATGTTTTTGTCAAATAAAAATTGTAGGAATGAATCATTCTAAGGCAATAAATTTCAGGAAAGAACAGACTTTGGGCACGTGGTAGTTTATTCAAGCTTTCACCGGTGACATACAGGGAGAGGCCAGAAACTACCCTGAATCTGGCCTTGATGTGAGGGCTCAATAGCCCCCTTAATCTTTGGCTCAGATCAGGAGAGAAGTCAGTGATGCTCCAATTTTCCCAGTGGGATACAGTATCTTTATATATTTCATGTTACAGTAATTACAAGCAATGTTGTCATTGTTCCTTCCCCCCCCTCATCTATAATACAATCTTGTGAAATACCTAATCAATAATGGACACTGCTGTGGACAGCCCTAGGCTCCCCATCATCTCACAATGTTTACCAGAGATTGTAATCATCAGGCCTTGGGATCTTACAATGCAGCCCATTAATTCACATTGCACAGTCAACAGTTATACTGCCTCGGACATGTCCCAGTCTTGCTTATCTCTAAGGACTGCTCAAATTCTGTTATTCATTTCATATTTCCCAATACCCTAATCACAGGAGATACAAAAGAAGCTAGTTCTTACACACTGCTATAAAATTCATAATACTAATTCTACTATAAAGTTAGTTACATTTAAAGTTTTATGTTTACACCTACTGTTAGCATTCTTTAGCTAATGAGTTGTGGACAAGTTATTTCTTACTGTTTTTACTATGCACCTCTATGTTTATCCTTGAAAGTCTTACAATATGTCCATTCAACCCACATTCCAACATCTGCTAGTCTTTGTACCTATGATTCAATTCTCGTTTTAATGATATGGGGACTGCTTTAACTACCTAAGACTGGTTTTCCCTTATAATTTTATTTGAATCTTTTCCTCTGACATTTTTAGTGATTTTTGTATACATGTGCATCCATAACTACTTTGAAATCTATCTCAGTGATTATCTGAAGAATCTTCAACTAGAACCTACTCTTAATATTGTAAATAATTCAAGAAAAAACAATTAATTATTGTGAAATGTTCTTATCTGGTGTTGGCATTTGCAGCTGTACCTTGCATCATGTTTAACACAGACTGGCTATTGTTTTACTTGCTGAGACTACATTAGGCAGGGTTTCCCCACACTCTCCAACTTCTGTCAGTCATGTTCTGCAAAGCTTGTGAAGGACAGTCGTCGGCTACTTTATGCTGCTCGGTCGTGGGGATCCCTAACAAAAATATTCTATGATACTTCAGGTATAAAGAGAACAAAAAAGAGGTGCTGCTCCATGTAGCAGAATAACTGACGAAGTTCATGCCTACGGAATAGACAATGATGTAGGTGAACGGCAAAGAGCAAATGTACATTCACGTGAATAAGTGTCAGAGTGGAAACTAGTGGCCAGTTTTAGGACCACCACCAACTATAAATCACAACTTTTTGAAATGTGTTTAGAAGCAAGTGTATTGTCCTATGTATGCAAGATAGCAAATGATGCCAAACTAGTTGATGCTAATCAATATGCAACCATCCGAAGGAATGTGGACAAGCTAAGTCAAAGGGATGAGAAAGGCAAAATGCAGTTTGTTGCAAATGTAGCTATCTGATTTTAGTAGAAGAAACAAATTATGGATTACTTATTAAAAAGCAGTATACTTGAGAGGATAAAGTATTAATGAGGTCTGAGCATTTCGGTGGATAAAATTGCAAGTTCATTATCTCAGTCAGTGACAACAGCAAATAAAACATCAGGACATCTATCTGAAAATGTGACTTATTGGTCCAAAGATGTGACATAAATAATATATGTTGTGTTGGTGAGGGAGAGGCATATTGCTGTGTTAATGTTGGCTTCACTTCACTTACAGTATCCTGTATTCCCTTCCTCTTCATGTATTGGTCCAGGTGCTTCTTGAATGCTGCTATCTTCCAACACCACCTATGGCAGCGCGTTCCAGGCACTTGTCACCCTTTGTGTGGAAAAGCTTGTCTTGCACATCTCTTTTAAATCGCCCCCTACCCTGCACCTTGAACCCGTGTCCTGTAGTAATTGACCCATCCACCCTGGGGAAAAAACCTCATACTTTCCACACAATCTGTACCATTCACAACCTTATAAACTTCTACAACGTCACCCCTCAACCCGCTATGTTCCAGTGAAAACAAACACCGTCTATCCAACCTTTCTTCATAGCTAATTGTGAAGGGGCAGCAGGATTTCAAAGAGAATGAAACAGGTAGGCATGGCTGGAAAGGATGTAATGCAAGAGGGGTTATTGTCCACAGTCAAAAGCATTCTTGCATCAAATGCTGGGAGGAAGCTGTGAATGACCACTTTAGATGTGTGATTTTTTTTTCTAGATTCTGGTTGGGAAGAGTAGGCAGATGTAGGTGAATGTAGATGGGCAGGGTGGGGACATTAGAAAGTGTGAATTCATGGAGTTGTGGGATGGGCTGTTAGGATAGAGATGTGTATACTTGGCAACTCACTGACTGGCTTGTGACGAGGCTTGAAGCTACTGGCAGAGGGGTGCATAGGTTCTCCTCCCATTGAGCTAGAATCAAAAATGCGCATGGAAGAAAATGGCTGTAACCACACTCAGTGTGAATGGGATAAATGACTCAACCATTGAGGGAGGGGGGCTGTACCAACAACTGCTCGTAGGGTTTTCAAAGGAGACCAACATAGGTCACAGGGCCATGAAAGGGATAGCCCACAGGTATGGAGGCTGCACCCTAGCCATCCTACAGCGATTATCCTCTCTGTACGTGGCACCTTCCTGGCTACAGCCATTGCTGGACAGATCTTTGACAGTTATATCTTTGCACATAGAGGAAGCCAAGCATTAGGGATGTTGAGGCAGGGGGGCGAAAGGTGTCAGGACATCCAATGCCATGCGTTTGCAATGTTCTCCCTGCTTGCAGATGTCTACACAGACCTCCATTCATTAATGCTCATGTGTGGAAATACCTTACACATATGCAGTTCTATTTTCAATACAAGCCTTTTACCTGTGCAACCAAAATGCCCTGAATATATTTTCTTCTTTCTCTCCCTCCCACTACCATCTCAGAGCAGACTCCCTGGTTCCGCTGCTGGGGTGGAGGGAATCTGCTCTGATATGGAGCCTATTGATTCTGAAGGTTTGGAAGGGTGAACCTAGAGGTGCATGTGTGTAGATGAGCCAGATATGCTAAGGATAGTCTTGCCAGATGCAAGTTGAACTTTAAATGGGGGAGAAAGGGGAAAGGAAGGATGGGGTGGAGGGCTCGGCCATCTCTTCAGTGTTCTGAGTGTTTGGTTCCATCTCCTGCTGGGTGCCTTCTGGCACTGCCCTATCTCCTGTGAGGACAGGGTACCTACACTGGGGTCAAGTTCCCCTGTTCTCCTGTTGCCATGCCTTTGGTCCTGGGAGCCAATTACTGAGATGATCAAGTGCAAGTGAGCCCCTTTTCAGCACCCCTGAGGGTCCTGGACGTGGCTTTCCATAGCAGTCACCAACTTGTCCATGGAGCCAGACAAATGATCACAATACTCTGCACCAGTGGACCTTCTGGGCATTGAGGGCCGTTATGCCCTATATGCCTGTATGCCTCTGCTGCTTCTCCTTGTGCATTTGGATGAAGTTCCTGATTGCCATGACCACAGGGTCATCTCTTCCTAAGTAAGTATCTGGTCTCTGGCACTTCTCTGAAGCCACATGCTTTGGCCATATCTTCCTCAACTAGTTACAAAGCTTTCGATGCAAGGGGCTCATCAGATTGTGTGAGCCCCCACTTCCTTTGCCTATGGCTCCAACCAAGGTTACTTTAAGAAGACCTTAAAAATGTGTATCCTACCAATTCAGAATGCCATAAATAAAGAGAAAGTTCAAGGGTACACCATTTAATGCAAATTAACCTAGTATAGTATGCTAAGAAAGAGCTTTCATTTAAATGCTAAATTTTGGATCTCCAGAATTTTCTTTAGTAATGGTAACAGTAGGTTAATAGTGACATTTATTCTTTGCTGCCAGGATTTGTTAAAGTGGATACATATGACCAGCATGAACAGAATAAGGTGTAAGAAAAACAAGATATATGAAACTGATATCAACTGAATATTTGAAAAGAAGTCTCAAATTGAATGCAAAGTATTATTTGCTGTAATATTTTCCAAAATAATTCTCTAAAGAGTTTGTATGTACATTTCATCCTTGTTTTTAAAATAAAATGTTCTAAGTGCCTTTTTTACAACATGCTCAACTGGTCCATGCTCGTGTTTATGATCCAGGCAATCTTCACTTTGGGCATTTATTTTTACTTCAACTTTCTAATCTTCAAATAATCCCTTTAGGGTTCTAACCGAACATTTTTGGTCTGGAACTTTCAAATAAAACTCCTTATACTGAATTAATCTGTTTCCTAACCACGTTAACTTGGTTCTTTTTTCTTTATTCTTTTGTGGAATGTGGATGTTACTGGCGAAGTCAGCATTTGTTGCCTATCCATAACTGAGTGGCTAACTAGGCCATTTTAGAGGACAGGTAAGAGTTAACCATATCACTGTGCATCTGAAGTCACACAGGCCAGTGAATCTAAAGGAACTCATTGCTGCAGAAGGCTGTGGAGGCCACGCCACTGAATGTCTTTAAGACAGAGATAGATAGGTTCTTGATTACTAAGGGGAACAAGGGTTATGAGGAGAAGGCAGGAGAAACATATCAGTCATGATCGAATGACAGAACAGACTTGATGGGCCAAATGGCCTGATTCTGCACCTATATCTTATGGTCTTAGGTGAGGTTGACAGATTTCCCTTCTGAAAGACCATGAGTGAATCAGATGGGTTTTTCTGACAGCTGATGGCACTATAACTGATATTAGATTTATATTCAAAATTTATTAGTTGAATTTAAGTAACACCAGTTTACCATGTTGGAATTTAAACTTATGTCCCCAGTGCATTAGCCTAGGTCTCTGGATTCCTAGACCAATAACA